ATGGAGAAAGCCAAAATACCAAATTCATGGACAGAAGCCATAATAGCAATCATTCCAAAAGAACATACAGATCTCCAGTTAATTCAAAACTACAGACCTATTTCATTATTGAATGCCGATTACAAAATATTTGCAGCAATCTTGGCCGAAAGGATTAAATCAGTATTAAATACATATATACACCCAGACCAAAATGGATTTCTGCCAGGATGCCAAATAAAGAACAACATGAGAATAGTACTTAATGCTCTAGAATATTATGAATCACACCCGGAGAAGCAGGCAGCGTTGGTTTTTCTTGATGCCCAAAAGGCCTTCGATAATCAAAATTGGAAATTTATGATTGAACAATTACAAAATATGCAAATTGGAGAAAAATTTGGGAAAATTATAGCAGAAATCTATACCAAGCAATCAGCAAGGATAATTATGAACGATGATATAACAGACAAATTTAATATAACAAAAGGAGTCAGACAAGGCTGCCCACTTTCCCCCTTACTATATATTCTATCATTCGAAATCTTGTTGAAAAAAATTAGAGAAGACCAAGGAATTGAAGGTTTAAGGATCAATAGAGAAGAATACAAAGCTCAGGCCTTTGCTGATGACCTAGTGTTTTTGATAGAAAATCCTATGGAATCTATACCTAATTTGTTCCAAAAAATAGAAGAATTTGGAGAAGTGGCCGGACTAAAAATCAATAAAAGTAAATCGAAGCTAATTGTAAAAAACCTTACGGAAATCCAAACAAAAGAATTGACAGATAATATACAAATCCAAACAACAACAAAAATAAAATATCTAGGAATCTGGTTATCTATAAGAACATCAGCAATTAAAGAAAACAATTATGATAAATTACTAGAACAAACAAAGGAAGACTCAGAAAAATGGGAAAATTTACACATTTCATTCCTAGGAAGAATTTCGGCCATCAAAATGACTATATTACCGAAATTTTTATATTTGTTTCAGGTCACCCCAATTAAAATAGATAAACCGTTTTTTGAAAAGCTGAATAAAATAACATCTAAATTTATATGGCAAGGGAAAAGGCCATGAATAAAATTTAAGCTGCTTCAGGACACAAAAGATAGAGGAGTAGCTTCACTCCCTGACTGGGAGGTATACTACCAAGCAGCAGTACTATCATGGGTCAAAGATTGGATAGAATTAAAGGACTCTAGAATTTTAACAATTGAGGGACACGAACTCCAAACTGGCTGGCACTCCTTTATGTGGGATGAGAAATACAAAACACATTCATATTTTAAAAGACACACAATAAGAAACTCATTATTACAAATTTGGCTTAAAATTAAAAAACAACATTATATGAAGATACCAAATTGGCTAGCACCGGCAGATTCAATTAGACACCCAAATTTAACAAAATTTTATTTTAACAAAATAATTAGATATAAAGATATAATTGACTATCAAGGCAAATTAAAGACAAAACAACAACTGGAGACAGATTTACACAGAGAAATAGACTGGTGGATTTATACTCAAATACAATGTCACTCTGAAAAAATGCTTAAGAAGAAATTATACTCTTTTTGTGTATATGTTGTATAAATGTTTGTTGTGTATATGTTATGTATGTCTTTTTTAATATTTATATTCAATAAAAATTATTTTTTAAAAAATAGTTTGAGCTGATATAGGCATGAAGAAAAAATCAGAAAGAGATAGCATCCATCTTTTGTGGAAACAGTCAGAAAGAGCACATCTTATTGTCATCTGTGTTTCAGGTTAATAGAAACAAATTATTAATACACCAGAGGGAAAAAAGCTTTTAGAGTCGGCTGTTGGATTTTATTTGATTTTTTTACCAAAAATCTTGGTGAAATTTTTTCTATTCTTGGATAAATTGTTTTTTAAACTTCCTTTAATCTGGACTCTTAAAAGTAGTATTATTTAGTAGCTTCAGAAAGAGTATATTATTGAGAAGTTTCTTTTAAGCTATTATTTTCATGTCCATATTGAATCATCTGTTATGTACCACTGATGCAGACTAGGAATTTTCTAGCAATCACAAACACTTTAATTTGTATAAGAGCAATTTTGAATGGCTGCTGCAAAGAAAGCTTCTAGCTTCTTCCCTAACATAGTCAGCAAAAGCACTTAAAACCAACTAAAAAGAACCTTTAAAAGAAGATATAAATGATTTGACTGATGCCAACTTCTTTTTCAGCCTCATTATTGCATGAATGAAGAATAGAAGTCTTCCTTTTAATTATTCCGATGCAAATAATAACTATATAGTAGCAGAAGCAGTATTATTATGCAGATACAGTATTATTACTGTACACTGTCTGTACTGAAAAGATCTGTCCTCAGTGTTTGGCTCCTGGGTCCAAAAAAGATGATTGTATGATAATAGACACATTAATTGTAATGAACCTTGTTAAGTCATCAGATCATGTAAACAATAATTTGCTTATTCAGTGGCTGTGCCTGTTGTCTTAACAAGGCCAGAAAGGAATTCCTTTTTTTATTTAATATGAAAAGAAAATAATTTTCCACATTTTTAGTTTGTCACAAACATAAAAATATGTGTAATCTATAGAATAATTATACAAAAACCTTTAAAAATGCTGAGAATCCCTCAAAAATCATCTCTCTTCTATTCATAAGGATCATTCATCTGTGTGCATTTTTACTGTCTGAAATACAAGTATATAGTAGGGCAGTGTTTCTCAACTTTGGCAAATTGATGATGAGTGGACTTCAACTCCCAGAATTCCCCAGACATAAAAATAATGACAACAGCTACATTTAAAATCAACAAGAAGCAACTGAATTAGTTCAGTAATTTAATTTCTTTGGATCAAAAATTGTTTAAGGTGGCAGTTCTACACTTGAAATCAAATGCAGGATAACTTTAGACCACACCGCAATGATTAACATGAAAAAGATCTGGAAAAGCAGAGATATTGATATAAATACAAAAAGCAAGTTAGTTAGAGCAATGATCTTACCTATAATGATATATGGGTTTGAGAGATGGATCTAAGAAAGACTGATTGAAGAAGAATTGACGCCTTTGAACTGTAATGCTAGTGTAAATTATTGTGTATTGCATGGACAGCCAGAGCAACCAAGAGATGCTGAATCGTTTTAAACCAGAAACATCATTAAAAGCCAGAATCACAAGACTACGTCTAATCTACTTTGGCCATGTAATGCATGCAAATTCATTGGAGAAGTGAATGATGCTAGGAATATTTAGTGGCTCTAGAAAAGGGGGAAAACATTGCAACTACATGGAGGGAAGTATGCAGTGGGGTACCCCAAGGCTCTGTTTTAAGCCCAGTACTCTTCAACATCTTCATCAGTGATTTGGATGAGGGGATGGATGGGGAACTTATTTGCAGATGACACCAAGCTAGCAGGAATAGCCAATACTCTGGAAGATAGGCTTAAGATACAGAAGGATCTTGACAGACGTGAACATTGGGCGCTATCTAACAAAATGAAATTCAGTGGTGAAAAAAGTAAGGTTCTACATTTAGGCAAGAAAAACTAAATGCACAGGTACTGTATAGGTGGTGCCTCGCTCAATAGTAGTAACTGTGAGAGAGATCTTGGAGTCCTAGTGGTCAACCATTTAAATATGAGCCAGCAGTTTGCAGCAGCTGCCAAAAAAGCCAGCACAGTTCTAGGCCACATAAACAAAGGGATAGAATCAAGATCACGTGAAGTGTTAATACCACTTTATAATGACTAGGTAAGGCCACGCTTGGAATAATGCATCCAGTTTTGGTCACCAAAATGTAAAAAAGATGTGGAGACTCTAGAAAGAGTGCAGAGAAGAACAAAGAAGATGATTAGGGGACTGGAGGCTAAAACATATGAAGAATGATTGCAGGAATTGTGTATGTCTAGTTTAATGAAAAGAAGGACTAGGGGAGACATGATAGCAGTGTTCCAATATCTCAGGGTCTGCTACAAAGAAGAGGGGTTAAGCTACTCTCCAAAGCACCTGTGGGCAGGACAAGAAGCAATGGGTGGAAACTAATCAAGGAGAGAAGTAACTTAAAACTAAGAAGAAATTTCCTGATAGTTAAAACAATTAATCGGTGGAACAACTTGTCTCCAGAAGTTGTGAATGCTCCAACACTGGAAGTTTTTAAGAAGAGATTGGATAACCATTCATCTGAAGTGGTGTAGGGTTTCCTGCCTAAGCAGGGGGTTGGACTAAAAGACCTCCAAGGTCCCTTCCAACTCTGTTATTCTCTTATTAAAGAACTTGCTGACTTAACACCATTAAGGCTGATACTAAGACGAATATCCAACAACTGAAAGAAGCTGTGTTGACAGGTTAGCATGCGGAGACATGTCTGTAAAATCATCAAGAAATGGACCCAACTGTTTGGGTCCATTAACCCAACCAGTTAAAACTACTATTAATAGTTCGAGAGACACAATGGTTCACCCTGTAATTTTCTGTGAATGTCAGATTCTGATTCTAAACAGCAATTAATGAAACAGAGAAAGTCCAATAACATCAAAAGATGATAATAAAGTATGGAAGTAATTAATTTGAACACTGTCAAGACATGTAATTCATTCATACATAGCAATATCAAGGGCACTATATCAATCCTATACTAGACCTTGCTCTCCACATAACAGGTGTAATGCAACTCTCATTCCTACACCCCAATATAAACCAGTTTCTGACAGAAATATCAGTTCTATTCCTCTGTAACACTAAGTAATACATCATATTAAACATTATTTTGCCAGAGCCAGAAAACTTAATCCTACAACACATGATAAAATCTGAGGATTAGGTACTGAAAAATATACACATTTGCATGTAGTGAGTTTGTTTTTGTTGAAAGCATACTAATACTAGCAACTGAGATTCAGAAGATTTTTATGTAGTTCACAAGCTGAAGTCAGAAAAAAGGGTATCATAGCTTTTTAATATTCTTCTTAAAATATATGAGGAAGTAAGCTCTTTTTCACCCTTTCAATTTAAGGTTGATATCGTTAGATGATGAAAGCAATACCAAGGAAACAGCCAACTCAGGTATTCTTTTATATTATATTTTGCAAATGCCAAGCATGCTCCAAATTCCTACTTGTCTTAATAAAAGCTGTGAACATTTTGTTCTAACAGGCTACTTTAATGTATTAACACCATGCGTCATTTCAGGATATTTCATCCCAACTCTAAAACATTTAAAGTACAAGAAATCCATTTAAGAGAAGATATTTGCAATTCATTTAAGATTTTATTTAACCAATTATGCAGTTTTCTCATAAAATAAATATTATAGCATTTCACCTTAGCGCTTCAAATGGCCAACTGTTTTTCAAGCTAGAGATAGCATTGTGCTATACCTAGTGTTAGTTCAATAAAAAAGAAATGGTAATCTCTGCTAAAGCAGCTAAAATACTCTACTGTGTGAATACTGTACATCTCTTGTGTGCTATTTCTCAGTGAATAACTGAGTGAATAACATACATGTAATTTGTGATCTGGGCTTGGTTGAGAATTTGTTCTTTATAAGCATGAGAGCAAGAATACTTAAATTATTCTGGACATTTTAATTAAACTATGTATTTATATTAGCATATTTCCAGGGGTGAAATGCTCCTGATTCGGACCAGCTCAGGCGAGTAGGTAGCGATGGCGGCGGGCAGTTCGGAGAACTGGTAGCAAAAATCCCTGCCCCTGCCCCCCATGCCCAGTTGAGCCCTGCAATTATCAGAGCCTTTTTTTCCTTTTAAATGGCTCTGACCAGCCAAGCTCTGACAATCCCAGCTGAGTTGCCTGCTAATCAGGCAACTTAGCTTGGATCGCCAGAGCCATGTAAAAGAAGAAAAGTTTCTTTTTTTCTCTCCCCGCCCCCCACTCCCCAGCCTCCAGCTTGCTTACCTTAGCTGCTGATCGCATAACGATCGCAATCCATGCATCAGCAAGCAACTGAATCTCCCTGTCTGCAATCAAGCTCATGGTGAGTAGCTCTTTCTGCCTTCCTGCCTAGATTGTGGACTTCAACTCCCAGCAAAGCTGGCTGAGGAATTCTGGGAGTTGAAGTCCACAAGTCTTAAAATTTCCAGACCTCTGTTCTATTGGGCAAGGTTTTTTTCCCTTTGGGAGCTTTAAAAAAAATAGTTAAGTGAGGTTTTTTTTAGTTATTCTTTTTTTAGACTTAGCCATTTAAAGTTTAGGAAGTTTTAAATTTAGCTGCTTTGATATAAAAATAAAATAAAATAAAATAATATTTGTGCAGCTTTCTGAGATTTAGTGTGTTTCTGTAGTGTTTCACTCTAACTACACAAACACACAAAATCTCATAAAGCTGTATGTGGAATTTTATGTGTGTAAAGTGTGAAAGTTGGGTTTTTGGGCTTTTTGTGGCTGTGTGAGGTTCCTGCTTGTTTCAGGGGGCATTTTGGGTCTAGCACAGCTGCTTTTACATTGTGGGTGAGCCAGTTGTGTTGTGTATGTGTAAAGTGTGAACGTTGTTTTTTGGGGCTTTTTGTGGCTGTGTGAGGTTCCTGCTTGTTGTGGGGCCATTTTGAGTCTAGCACAGCTGCTTTTACATTGTGGGTGAGCCAGTTGTGTTGTGTTGTGTTTTGTAGGTTAAAAAAGGGCAAAGAAGTGACATTGACTTGGCCACGCCCACCCAGTCACCTTACCACCAAGCCCCACCCACTAATTAAGCCACGCCCACAGAACTGGTAGCAAAAAAATTTAGATTTCACCCCTGCATATTTCCATACTGTACTGCTGTGCAAATATGATAATTGTGTTTACACAGCACTGGAAGAATGAGGAAATTCCTATAGATGAAAATATAATTTTAAAAAATATTAGAATATGCAGAAATGGATAGGTTAACACTAAAGATAAAAGACAAAGAAGATACAGAATATTTTTAACATGGGATTTGTTCTATCAATGGTTAGCTAATAGAGGTAGAAATTAGAAGTTGAAAGATTATTAATATGTATAAATAAATATAAAAATAAATATTACTACTACTGTTACTATGTATAAATAAATTGACCCAGATAATACACTGTATACTAAGCACCAATGTATGTTAAAGAAAAATATGTGATAGAATATTAATAGCACAGAAAACATTAAAACAGTTGTAAAAATTTTAGCTTAAAAGCTGTGTTTAAATTGATAAAATAAATTGAGTACAAAAACAACAAAACAATTGGTAACTACTTCAACACTGGAGCAAAATCAATCCATTCCATATACAGTACCTGCATGGATCTATACTTTGAAGTTTCTGGTTGCTTTTCAAGAGTTATCCCACAGAGAATACCATACAAAGTGAAAGCTAAACATCTGTAAATTTCTACAATATACATAGTGTAGTAAATACAAATAATTCAGTGTTCTTTTCAAATATGGCATGGATTTTTTAAATAGAATATATTATTTTGAAACCCTCTAAGTTGTGTAAGCTGATCATTTTAAAGCTCACTATACTTTCACTGACCGTGGCTCGGATCATGAGCTTCTCGTGGCAAAATTTAGGCTTAAATTGAAGAAAGTACGGAAAAGCACTAGGCCATTCAGGTATGAACTAAATCATACCTCTGATAAATATACAGTAGAGGTGACAAATAGATTTAATGAATTATATCTGATAGACAAAGTGCCTGAAGAACTATGGACGGAGGTATGCAACATTGTACAAGAGGTAGCAACTAAAGCCATCCCAAAGAAAAAGAAATGCAAGAAAGAAAAATGGCTGTCTGAGGAAGCCTTAAAAATAACTGAGGAAAGAAGGGAAGTGAAAGGCAAGGGAGAAAGATACACCCAATTAAATGCAGAATTCCAGAGAATAGCTAGAAGAGATAAGAATGCCTTCTTAAATGAACAGTGCAAAGAAATAGAAGAAAACAATAGAATAGGTAGGACCAGAGATCTCTTCAAGAAAATTAGAGATAGGAAGGGAACATTTCATGCAAAGATGGGCATGATAAAGGACCAAAATGGCAGGGACCTAACAGGGGCAGAAGAGATTAGGAAGAGATGGCAAAATTACACAGAAGAACTATACAAGAAGAAGCTTAACATCCCTGATAACCACAATGGGGTGGTCACTGACTTTGAGCCAGACATCCTGGAATGAGAAGTCAAATGGGCCTTAGGAAGTCTGAGCAACAACAAAGCTAGTGGTGGTGACAGTATTCCAGCTGAGCTATTCAAAATCTTAAAAGATGATGCAGTAAAAGTGCTACACTCAATATGCCAGCAAATTTGGAAAACTCACCATGGCCACAGGATTGGAAAAGGTCAGTTTACATTCCAATTCCAAAGAAGGGCAATGCCAAAGAATGTTCAGACTACCACACCATTGCACTCATTTCACATGCTAGCAAAGTTATGCTCAAAATCCTACAAGCTAGGCTCTAGCAGTATGTGGATTGAGAACTACCAGAAATGCAGGCAAGATTTCAAAGAGGCAGAGGAACTAGAGATCAAATTGCCAACATACGCTGGATCATGGAGAAAGCTAGGGAGTTCCAGAAAAACATCTACTTCTGCTTCATTGACTATGCTAAAGCCTTTGATTGTGTGGATCACAACAAATTGTGGCAAGTTCTGAAAGAGATGGGAGTACCAGACCATCTTATTTGTCTCTTGAGAAACCTATATGTGGGTCAAGAACAGGGGTGGTGTTCACTTACCTTCGCTACTGGTTCGCAAAAGTGTGCGGGCCTTCAGCGCATGCGCAGAGCATCAAAAATGGGACATTATGATAACTGGATGGGTGGGCAGAGCCTCCCACAGCTACCGCTACCGGTTCACACGAACCGGATAGAACTGGCTGAATACCACCACTGGTCAAGAAGCAACAGTGAGAACTGGACACAGAACCACTGATTGGTTCAAAATTAAGAAAGGAGTTTGGCAAGGCTGTATACTGTCACCCTGCCTATTTAACTTATATGCAGAGCACATCATGAGAAAGGCGGGGCTAGATGAATCACAAAATGGAATTAAGATTGCCGGGAGAAATATCAACAACCTCAGATATACAGATGATACCACTCTAATGGCAGAAAGTAAAGAGCTTTCTGATGCAGGTGAAGGAGGAGAGTGCAAAAGTTGGCTTAAAACTCAACATTAAGAAAATTAAGATAATGGCTCCCGGCCCTCCCAATTCCTGGCAAATAGATGGGGAAGAAACGGAGATAGTAACAGATTTTATTTCCCTGGGCTCCAAGATCACTGCACATAGGGATTACAGCCAAGATATTAAAAGACGCTTGCTCCTGGGGAGGAAAGCTATGGCAAAGTTAAACAGCATACTAAAAAGCAGAGATATCATCCTGCCAACAAAAGTGCATATAGTCAAGGCTATGGTTTTCCCAGTTGCAATATATGACTGTGAAAGTTGGACCATAAGGAAGGCTGAGTGCCAAAGAATTGAGGCCTTTGAACTATGCTGCTGGAGAAGACTCCTGCAAGTCCCTTGGACTGCAAGGCAATCATACCAGTCAGTCCTAGAGGAGATCAATCCTGACTGCTCTTTAGAAGGCCAGATCCTGAAGATGAAACTCAAATACTTTGGCCACCTAATGCAGCAGGAAGGACTCACTGGAGAAGGGCCTAATGTTGAGAACGATTGAGGGCAAAAGAAGAAGGGGATGTGGTGAGAATGTGGTGGCTGGATGGAGTCACTGAAGCAATCAGCGTGAGATTATGGACTCCAGGGGATGGTAGAGGACAGGAAGGCCTGGAGGAAAGTTATCCATGGGGCTACGATAGGTCAGACACGACTTTGCAACTAACAACAATAATTTCATTAATTACCTTGTATTAATCTAGATTTATCAAAAATATGTTCTGATTAATAAAACCCTTATTACTGATTAATCCTTTCTTCAGGATTATTTCAGGCTAAATGAAAAGCCCCAGTAGTAAAATGATCAGATAGAAAAATCTAAGAGGCACTGGCCATCTTCAGTATTGTTCTTTACTTTGCTGAATTTGATTTTACCTAGAAAACATTTTGGTTACAGCAGAAGATGCTAATGACATGCTGAGTACTTTTGGAGAGAACTTCAACCACAGAGAAAATTCAGGTATGTTTTTTAGATATGCACTGCAACTATATAAATACTTCAGAAATAAGTTTCACTGAGTTCAGTGGAACCTGTTCCCAGATAATTTTCAATAGGATTACTTGTTCTAAGTATGAAACTTACAGAAGTCTGTAGATAAGTTGTTTCTTCAAATTTTCTCTTTTTTAGAAGTTATGGATCACTTATTAGAGTTGAAGCATGGAGAAAATGGTATGTAAAATGTTTTATTGGCTACATCAATTTTATACAGAGGCTAGGTGTTTTTCAATGTGCTCATTAACCAAATGTTTAAGTATTACAAAAGAACATTCACTTGTTACTCTGATGTCAAACTTCATTTATGCATTAGCTATTCTCCCATTGGGTTTTCAACAAGGCATGTTTCGTGGACCACATTATATGGTTTGTAGAAAGCTTGTTTGTTTCACACTTATCCTGGCAAATGTTGAAACAGCTTGTCTACAGAGTTGTGGGTGCTTCATCACTGAAGGCTTTTAAGAAGCAACTGGACATCCATTTGTATAAGGTATAGTATAGTAATCTCTTATATAGAGATAATAGTATATAGGATCTCCTGCTTGAGCAGGGGATTGGACTAGAAGACCTCCAAGGCAGCGGTGGGATCTAAAAATTTTTACTACCAGTTCTGTGGGCGTGGTTTATTTTGTGGGCGTGGCTTGGTGGGGGTAATGTGACTGAGTGGGTGTGGCCAACTTTTTATTTTTTTACTTTTAAAAGCATTTTTTCTACAACCTTAAGAAAGGTTGCAGAAAAAAATGCTTTTAGAAGCCTCTGACCATCAGGCAACTCAGCTGGGATCGCCAGAGGCTTTTAAAGGCATTTATTATTAGAAGCCTCTGATGATCAGGCAACTCAGCTGGGATTGCCACCGGCTTTTAAAGGCATTTTTTTTTTCTACAACCTCTTCGGCCGAAGAGGTTGTAGAAAAAATGCTTTTAAATGTTTTTTTTTTTAAAAAAAGCCTCTGATGAGGTGGGCGGGGTAAGCGAGCAGCAACAGGGCCGGGGACCGGTTTGGGGGCATGGCCAGCCAATGTTATTACTGGTTCTCCAAATTACTACAAATTTTTACTACCGGTTCTTGTGAACCATTGCGAACCAGGAGCAACCCATCACTGCTCCAAGGTCCCTTCCAACTCTATTATTCTGTATTCTGTGTTATTCTGCAGTATTGACTAGTAAAATCTAAAGATTATTTCTCATATTTCAGCAATAGATAATTTCAATTCCTAGAACTTTGCTATATTTTTGGATAGTGTCTTGGTGTCCCACAGGGTTCCTACCCTACCTGACTTCAATAATTAAAAATGATTTTAAATAAAATATAAATTGGGAATGGGTAAAACATCAGCCTCTGGTATATTCTTTATTTAAGCATTGCCTTTTGGCATCATAAAAGTCTTGAAGTAGAGACAGATACATCTCTATGTTGCAGAGGAATAAACATGGCAAATAATGTCACGCTGCCGTTATGCAAGCTCTATCCTTCTTGTCTATGTGAGATGATGTCCCATCCGTGTACAAAAGGACAGTGTTTGCATCTCAACCGTACAATACTGTTATTGTCATTTTGATGACAACATTAGAATCTGTGGATGCATTTGAGTACGGAGAATCTTGGTAGGTTAGTTTGCTTTTGGGTAACTCTTATTCTACAACTATTCATGCCCAACATGACAGTATTTTGTAAAGAGTACAGACTCCTAAAGTACCCATTCTGAATACGCCCACCACATGCTTTCCAAACTCAGATGTGTCCCTGATCCCAAAAATTGTTGTCTATGCCATATTTGGTTTTGACACAATTCACATTCTTTTTTGGAATATTTATTTTCACTTGATCTAGACCCAAGATAATGATTAGTATAAATACTAACTAGATAACCACTATTTTTCCAACTTTCTCTATCTGAATAAATGCTATCTTATCCTATAAATGATATATTTGTAAGAAATAGCTTGATATGCAATGTATGGTGAAAAGCATATTGTAGTATATGCCCACATATCTTTTAAGTTTTTTGCAGCCTGTAATGTTTTTAGGAAATATGCATCTTGTTAAAGCCCATAGCTATTAAGAGCTAATGGAAATTATAAAAACACAAGTTTTAAAATAATATTTGATACCCAAAGTGTGAGTTTATTTCTCTTGAGAAATAAGCAATCAGTGAAAATAGATTTTCAAAATTCAAAAGGTTAGTAGTGTCTAACTCAGAGTTTCCAAACCTTGTCAATTTCAAAGGATGTTTATGAGGAAGCATTAAAAAAATCAGATAAACTAAATCATTGACAAATAACAGAATAAAAGTATAAATAGATGTAATGACCATTTATTTGGTGAATGTTCAATGCCAGGGATGATTGATCTCTGTCTGTCTGTCAGTCATGTATGTTTAGTACTACCTACCTTATACAGGTAGTTGCTTACTTACAACCATTCATTTAGCTACCATTTGAAGCTACAACTTCAAAGGTGACCTACAACTGGTCTCATACTGGTCTCCCTGCTGTCACTTGGTCAGAATTTGGGCAATTACAGTGATAAACAACTGTGGCAAAAAGTGTCATAATCTCATTTAACAACTGTCTTGTTTACTTACAGAAATTCTGGTTCTAAATGTGGTTTAGATCAAGAGCTATTGATTTCAGAAGGCTGAGTAGTGTCTAATCAGAGTTTCCAAACCTTGTCAATTTCCAAAATATGGATCCAACTCTTAGAATGCCACAGTCAGCATATCCACTGCTGAGAATTCTCACCTTCAGTTTGCCAGGCTTAGGAAACACTGATCTAACTGTTTAAGACTTGGATGGGAAATTACAAGCCAATAGCAAAGTTTTATGTTAGAATCAAAAATATTGTTTTAAAACTGAGAAAGTGGCAATGGCAAATTACTTATCAATTACCAGAAACAAGTACATGTATAGGAAATGGCCATGCTCAACTCAAATTAAGTATTACTATTTAATATTCAAATTTGCTCTCCTTAGTTCCTCCTATATGACCTATTGTTATTTGTGTTTGCATCATCTAATCCAACTTGTCCTTAGTAAATGAAACTGAATTTAAACCACATGTATAATTGTTTTAAGAAAAAAACCTGAATACATAACTTTAGTCTATGTGAAGCTCAAAAGTATAGTTTCATGGCTATCACTTCAATAGCATGAATAATCATAAAAACTGAAGCTGTAGGTTTAGATGTTTCATCAATGGCCATTCTCATTTGCAAACATCCCCCCCCCCCCGTAATCTCACCGAATGGAAAAAATTGTACTCTAATTATAATACATAATTTCCATATTTTTTGGATTGCTTTGCAGAATAATTTATTAATACGAGAAAATGAATATAGATTTTTTCCTCTTCAATATGGCAAGCGAAGAATAAATATATGGAAAAAGAATTACAAAATAAAAAGACCAAAATATCAGCAAAGCAAGTAGTTGCTTTGTTCCAAAGGAACTTCTAGGTGGCATGATGAGTGTGGGCTCAGAGAGGAGGACAGCTTCTCATCTGGATGCACTAGTGCCAGGTGGTAACAGGTACCACCCTCGCCCAACTGCATTCATGCCAGGCCATAATACCTAATACACCTACTGTCCTATATCACACTTACACATTTATGCTGCACTGCAGCCCCTGCCCATCTCCATATGGACCATGCTGTGGCATCTGTTTGCATTGCACTGCAGCACCCTCTCCCCTGCCTGCACTTGTGCTGCAGCTTCCACAGCACTTTGGTGTCATAACACCAAAACTAAATTAAACAACATGGTGTTCCACTTCAGTCTTATTTCAAATTATTACGTTGCTTCACAAAGCAGCTTTGAAGGAAGCCTTTTTTTAAAAAAACCTTCATGAAATTGATTGCTTTAGGGATTTTGTACAGCCTTATAATTTGCTAGTTAATTCATTTTCTGATTTATTTAACAATCCAGATTTAGTTCTTTTATTTTATTTTCTCTATTTAAATCTTCAAGGCTATCTGCAGTAATGTGTGTGTGTGTGTGCGTGTGTGTGTGTGCTTTTGACTCCTGGCAACTGCCTGGACAAGTCTTGGTAAGATTTTAAAAGTGACTTGCCATTGCCTGTTTCCTACAGCCAAGGGAGAATGACTGGCCCAGTTACACAGTTGGCTTTAAGCCTAAAATGAGACTAGAATTCATGTTCCCTTGGTTTCTAGCCTTGGTCTCTCAAACTAGCTGGTTTAATACTGCCATGTTCTAAATACCATTGTTCAAATAATGTCATCTGATGGCACCCAGAGAGTACGCCTTCTCTGTTGTTGCACCTGCCCTCTGGAATAGCATTTTCTCAGAGATTTATATGGTGCCTACTGTATTTATTTATTTATTTATTTATTTATTTATTAAATTTATATACCGCCCTATTCCTAAGGGACTCAGGGCGGTGAACAGCGAACGATAAAAATACATGTAATACAAACGTTAATAATAAAAAAACCAATTAAAATATACTAAACATTCTGGTCCTAGATAATTCAAGACATCCCAGTTTAAAATAAAATCAAAAAGCAATATAAAGGGAAAGTTAGGCCAGGCCGGCCTGCTGAAACAGGAATGTTTTGAGGGCACGGCGGAAAGTGCGCAGATCCGGAATCTTCTGTATCTCTGGGGGGAGCTCGTTCCAGATGGTGGGTGCCCTCACAGAAAAGGCTCTCCCCCTGGGGGCCGCCAGTCGACATTGTTTGGCTGACGGCACCCTGAGAAGCCCCTCTCTATGGGAGCGTACTGGGCGGTGAGAGGCTATTGGTGGCAGAAGGCGGTCTCGTAAGTACCCCGGTCCTAAGCCATGGAGCGTTCTAAAGGTGGTAACTAAGACCTTGAAGCGCACCCGGAAGACCACAGGGAGCCAGTGCAGCTCGCGCAGGAGGGGAGCCACATGGGAGCGCCATGCTGCTCCCATAACTACCCGCGCGGCCGCATTCTGGACCAGCTGGAGCCTCCGGGTGCTCTTCAAGGGGAGCCCCATGTAGAGAGCATTACAGTAGTCCAGGCGTGAAGTGACGAGGGCATGAGTGACCGTTTTTAACGAGTCCCGATCCAGAAAGGGACGCAACTGGCGAATCAGGCGAACCTGATAAAAAGACCTCCTGGCCACAGCCGTCAAGTGTTCTTCTAAAGACAGCCGTGAGTCCAAGAGGACGCCTAAGTTGCGAACCCTCTCCG